AGGTAATCTCTAAAGAAAGACACTAGTATTACACAGGCCTGAAAAAGACTTCTTGCAGAAAATGGGATTTTAGCTTAGGCTTCAGGGAAGCCAAGAGACTGAGACAAGAAGGGAGGGTATTCCAGGTATGAGGAACAGCCAGGGAAAATATATGGGGTTGAAAGGTCAAGTGTCCTGTTTGAAGAATAACAAGGAGGCCAGTGTCACTGTAATACTTATGTATGTGGAGAGGATAAAAGTATGATAAGACTGTATTTAAAATGTACAATTTTTTTTCAAAGAAAGATATTTACTGAAGTTTCATACCTAAAGATGCTCACCAAAACTTTTTTACCTGTGTCATTTGCTGAAATGACACATTTTTTCCCCTAGGAAATATTTGATATTTGAATCAGACTTGGAAACTAATACTAGTTTATATAATTAAGAAAGCCACTTACATATAGAATGTTTCACAATAACTGAAGTAAACAGCCTAGATTACAAAATGAGCTGGGATTGGTCTCTATTAGCCTATCAGAAGTAATCTTACTGATAGTTATTTGGCAAGCTAACACTGTCATTTCCATGTCATTGTTAGTGTAGGTGACTATGATGCAAGATGCATATATATTTGGTGGGTTTCCCAGGCGGGCATTTGCAGTCCTGCAGCAGCAATAGCCCATACCATGCTTGTGTCCTGCTTTCTCCAAGCCTACAGAAAAGTAAACTGTCACTTTATTGATTTAAAAAAAAATCATTAAGCAGCAATAGAGCATAAAATAATTTCTGTACAAGATGGTATATTTGGCTGCCTGCCAAGTGATTTCTTCAGAGCATATCAAGTGCATATGCCTAAGGCTTTGGTATCTCCACTCCTTATCTTCAGCCTGCAAGCTTGCATGGCTTGTGGTGCTAATCATGGACTCCAGTTTGGTCTAGATCTAGGGTATGTCAGAGGAATAGGGATGGACTGTGATTTCCCGGGTGGGGGGAACTCTCTGGTGAGGGAGCTCCCTCTACCAATGCAGATAAATACCTTCTGTGCAATTTGTGTTGTGGGGGGTTGCCTAGAGCACAGAGAGGTTAATTGGTTTGTCTGAGTGTGTCTGTGTCAGAGGTAGGACTTGAACCCAGGATTTTCTTGCTGTCAGACTGGTTCTCTTGCCACTATGCCATGCTTTCCCTTAATATGAAGTATTTTTCTGAATACTAAAATTATGGTGATCCTGTCTGGGAAATTACCTCCACTCCACCTGATCTCTATATTTTAGACTGCCCAGGCAGTGCACGCTGTCACCACACACATTTTATTGGACATAACTAACTTCTTCCCAGCTCGTATGTCATGGGAAACATCAAAGTAAGGGTTTTACCTGTTTAGAATCCACTGATATTGGCTCTGAAAATTGAAGAAACCGGGTGGGGAGAGAGTAAGTTCTAGGAGCTGGGATCAGTCTCCTGGTCCAATCTCAGCTGGCAGTTCAGTCCCACTGTGGTCTTTCTTGCCCCTGTCATGCCCCAGTGTCATATCCATCACAGGGCCTCTGCCTCCACCACCATAGTTCTTCAGAGTCTGTCTCAGTTCTTTGATGCCACCAGCTAGAGTAGTACCAGTGACAGCAACAAGAGGCAGGTGGCAGCTGCTTGCCCCAGTGCTTAACACAGTGCCTGGCACAAAGGCTTATAAATGTTAGTAAATTGACTCTGCTTCTCTGCCCTGACCTCATGGAAGAAAGGCATGAAATATTGGACTGGAAGTCCTATGAGGGCAAAAAGAAGAGAAAGCTGAGAAATTTGGCAGTGGTATTCTGGTAAATGTTTAACAACCAATTGTCTGGAGGGAAAATGTACGTATGACACACTTTTAAGTTTAATATGCATTATTAGCATTTTATTCCTCACTTAAGTCTAGTCAGTTAACAAAAATCACACCTTTATTTATAGCATTTGCTGATATTCAACAT